CACAGTTGCGTTGACACGCAGTCAACCGCAGTCAAGAGCCAATAAGAACGCGCTATCGTCGCTAGTGGCTCACCAATAGTAAGCGAAATCCAAGGCAACATGGCGGCGCACGGCGACGGCGTCAGTGTTCGATCTTGGGACAATCTCGCCGGCTTCCCCGACATTTTGTCAAGCTTGAACCATCGCAGCCTTGGAAAATACAGTCCCCACCGCTCCCCAGAACGAAAAAGCGAGCACTGCGACCGGCGAACCGGATACGTCTCGCCGAGTCGGCCCGGTGGGGCGAGCGAACACGTCACCCCATCTCCTCTTTCGACTTCTGATTGGTCGAACGCACCCGAACGCACCGCAACGCTTCGGAAAGTTGAGCGAGTCTCTACTCGCTTGCGTTGCGCTACCGAGCGTTGCGGGAAGGCGCGCGTCGCTCTGCAATCGACCGCGCCTGGCCGCAAGGACTCCGCAACGCACTCAAACGCGTTCAAACGCGAATGTGCGTACGGCCCTTAAAAGTCCTTCCCCTACGCCAAAGGGCGAGGCATCCAGACACGCAAACCTTAGTTTACAAAATGGGCAAGCCGTTTTGTAAACTATACGAAGTGGTGAAAAAAATCCCTGGAGAAGGGGAACATGAGGGACAAAGGACAAACACAAATCTCCAAACACAGCTAGGTGACTGGTGCGCGACCAAAAAAATCCGCCTGGTCCGGGTATCGAACCCGGGACCTCTCCATTACAGGTGGAGCGCTCAAGCGACTGAGCTAACCAGGGGTTAGACGTCAGTAGAGCAAACGGGTTTTATCAGCCGCCACCAGTATAACACCAAAAAAAAGTGAAGCTTGCAATTTAAGGTTATGATTATAATGCAATTAAATGCAAAGGTGCAATAATCCCTTCTCCAGGGATTATTTTCGTCATTCTTGTCCAGCTCGCTTGCACCTTTGCATTTAATTGGATTATAATCATATACGAAGTGCCGTGGACGCGCATCTCGGGCGCAAGCCACGACAACGGAGACCGCGGATCATCCTCCAGTGGTTGTGGGGGCTGGCTGCGGGGGTCCCGAGCGCGTCAGAGGTTCACGCGGTGGCGTAGACGCAGCATCGGGTCGCCATATTTCTGGGTATCCGGTGTGATCTTTCGCTACACTTGCGTTCTCGAGACCCATGTATGTTGTGTCTGGTAAGTTCTCCGTTTATCTATCGCTTTTAACGTTACTAATGCTCACACACCGACGGACGGCTTTCCCCGCGGGGCGCGTCCTGGCAATTCTCGCTGGAATCATCGCTGTCAGTCTATTCTCTCCGACCACAAACAAACAAGGGCCAGTGTCTCAATGTTTGGGCTCTAGCCGTGGGCCCTGTCCTTGGGAGCTGAAGTTTTGGCCTCGTGGCGAGGGTGGTTTTGTCCGTCCGATTGGTTGAGAGGGCTTTGGGGCCTGTACCGAATGGAATTCTATCTAGCCCTGATTGGATGAGATATGTTTCGGCGCACTGTCATAACCCCCGACCGGACGGAAAATCGTCGAGTTTAAACGAGCCCGAGGGATCCAGTAGTACACTCCCGCGGCTCGCCGCGTTACTACAGTCGTGCGTGACAGCCCCTGCTCTACGGCTTAAAGGCCTGTCCACACAGGACAGTACAGAAATCGTCAGGCGACTCGACTTCGACAAATCGCTCGGCGCTCCGCTTCGGGCCGTTTTCTTTTTTTTTTGTCGGGGGGAAAGTTTGTTTTGGTCAAATCTCGCCCGTGCCTTCCACGGTGGCCTTGATGTGCTGATCACGTGGGCCCGGAGAGCCACCCACACGCTCTGTTCGTTGTGGGTCAATCGCTCAAGGCCTCCGCCTTATTTCAGGTTCCGAAAGCGGAAAATAAATGACACCAAAACGCACGCTACGACGCAGGAATCTCTCAAATCCACCCGAAGCCGGACCTTTTTGGCCTTCCTGCCGAGGCAACGGCGGAAGCAAGGCCAGCGAGCCATGGGAGAACACCTGTGGCAGGTGGCGTGTGACGTCAAGTCTGACGAGCACCGACGCCAAAGAAAAGTGGAGAACGCGAGGAGAAAAGTCGTGACGTTGGCTTGCCCACAGAACTCGTCTGGCGATTCGACTTGTGCAAAAATCGTCAATACTGAAGCCGACGCGTCAATTTTGACGATTTTTGCAGGAGTCGTGTCGCCTGACCGTCTAAATTTCGACCCTTGAGTCTCCGTTATGAGAACCTCCGTCTCTCCCTTAACCTCCCTCGTGAGGGTATCCATTTACTAGAAAATGAATGTCATGCTGCCCCATGGGACATCAAGCCTGTAGCTTGTGATTGGTGTTCTACAGAATATAATAAACGTAACGTCTCCCCACTCATTCTAGAACAGGAATTCCCAGCTCAGCTAGAAAAATTCAAACATTACTGCCAGTTTTACACTGATGGTCGAAGTCCTTAATGTATGTTGGCTCCGCTGTTTATGCAACTTCGTTTACCCATGCCACTCGGCTTAACAATGTCGCCAGCATTTCCACTGCTAAACTATATCGTGTTCCGTAATCAGGAGCAAAGAGATGAAAGCCATTATTTTTGTAGACTCTCAAAGTGTTCTCACTGCAGTATGTTCCGTCACACCAACCAAAATAAGTTGACTCAACTCGTACGGGCCAAGGTACAACGGGGACTCGCGGGTGGGAATGACACTAAGTTTTTCCGGGTCCCGAGCCATGTGCGCATCGCGTTGAACGAGGCTGCAGATCAACTAGCCGCCTCTTCCCAGAACCTTTTACCATAAAATGGCCACGTACGTCACCAATAACTTAAAATGGGCATAAGATTGTCACTTGTACGACTATGGCGATTCGAATGAAAGTAAGGCGATAATAATAAGCTGTGATCAAACCAGAACTTGGTGCCCGGGAAACCTCTTGTAATAAAAGTAATTTGCACAAAGTCCTCCTGTGTTGCTTAAAAATTGGACGCTCGTTCGTTACACATCAAAACCTGCTTATACACGAACTCAACTCTGTTACGTCACGGCGTGGAGGTGGCGCGTCGTGCGCACTTCCCGTCTGGGGCTGTGGACGGAAGTTACCATGCGGGAAGTGCATTCCTGCGTTGTTTTGAAAGAAACGAGTCAAAAACCTGCCTTCTCGTCAAAACGCCGCGACTGGTGCGGTAGTAAGAGTTGAGAAAGGTTTTAAGATCAGCTGTCATGTGCTCGGTTTGTCTGATAACTTGGATTTGTGTCGTGAAAAGGGAAAACCAGACGCCGTCGGACAACGATTGCTTGGGTGGGAAACACTTTGGGTTTAATTCACAGATGCTTGTGGTCATCATATTTATGTTTTTTTTTGCCACCATAAAAGCGGGAAAACGGAGGAGGTGTGCGGACCACCTGCGGAATACGTTCAGTGCGTCTTCAAGTTCAAACGACCGCCTGATCGTTCAACCTGCCGTCTGCTCATCAAACGTTTCTGCTTGTCGTCTGCTCTTTCAGACGACGCCGGCTCGTACACCAAGCGCTGGCTCGGTAATTGCGATAAGAAGTAAGAGCAGGCCCCAAAAGACATTTAAGTTTGAAAGTTCGTTGGAGTAAGCGGGCTTGGTGTAAACAGTAGATACAAGGAGATGTTGATCATTGTTACCAGTGGCGATCACTGACTTGTTATGCCTGATTCACTTAATTTGATTCTGCTTGCAATTTTCAATATCGATGTCGACCATCTCAGCTACGATTCACGCTTTTGCAGCCCGAGCGCCGTCATGACTGAAAATTGCGAGCGAAATCTCGCCATGCGAATTATACTTTAGCGTTCATACTGCGGCGTCCACGCAGAATGAATCGCCGTATGTCAGATTATTCACGCTAAGTTTTGTGGTGTAAGGAGCCTCGGTAATTTCGCCGAGGCCTCTCAAGTAATTAAGCATTGCCAGGAAGACACAGAATCAACAGTTCCGACGCGAAAAAGAGCACGGGGACTGACACCGACGCCGACAGCATCGCATTTCAATTGTTTGTTTTATGGGCGACGGCGAACTTCTTGTCCACACTCCATCGCGCATGCGCGGCGCCATTGGGGTCCGCTATGGCAGAGCCGTATATGTAGAGAGTTTGGTCATTCGTTGGGAAGTATAGGAGACAAATGAGGAGGCGCCATTGCCCGAAAGCGGGCTGGGCGTGTTCCAGGGCGTCTTCAGAAATTCGAATGTGACCAACCAGAAGCCGGAAATAATACCCTGGCGGTGGTCGCGAGAAGCAAACCTGATAACTGCATTGGAGTAACTCTCGATAGCTGAAAATATGGTACACGTGATGTTTCAATCACACTCATCCAAAATGATGGTGGAAGAGTGCGACTAGCGGAAAGATCGACATAATCCTTACGCCAAGCGCCGAGGGCCAGGAATCTGCCGTCCGAGCGATCACGCTCTGTCCGCGCAAAACAGAGTTGAGCGGCGCATTCGTTCCTTACATCTTTCTGCATGATCATGATCAAAACAACACGTGCATCCTATTTTCAACCACGAAGAGTTACTACTCTTCACTGTGTGGAGACTGAAGAAAAGACAGCCGCTTCACTGGTGTCTACGCCCGTTCTAACCCGTGCTTGTCCTGAGCGCGCGCTAGCTTGACCCACCTCACGAGCCACCTTTATTGTCGTCCTTTTCAATCCCCACATCATTCCCCCTCTCGGGGGGGGGGGGGGGGGGGGGGGGGGGGGGCGGAGAGTTTCTTCATCAGGTGGTTTTCGTTGGTCCCCTCCCCGAGCACACGCCATGATTGTGGAGTTTTTGGCAGGGGGCATAGTGATGCCGTGATTCCGGTCACTGCACAGCCTCCGTCGACGATAGGGTTGCGTTGGGAGCTGTGCCTCGGCAAGCGATGCAAGGGTGGCCAGGACAGACGTGCTTTCCTGGTCACGACTCGTCGGTGGGGGGTGGTTGGTGAGGTCGTGGTGATGGGCGGTGGCCTCCCCAAGAGATGGCTTCTATGTGGCGAAAGATCTCTTGGTAGTTAAATTTCATCGTCGCTGAGTCTGATGTTCGCCAGTTCTGGTGGTAAGGGTAGTGTTCGGCGCAGGCGTTCGGGGCAGGCACGGCCAACAATAAGGAGGGCGGCCTCGATGTCGGCAGGTGTAAGGGCCCGTGATCCAGCTCGCACCAGCGCCCGCTGGCGGTCTTCTCGGTCGTGGTGAAGTGCTCCTTGATGATGTTGTTCGCATGAAATGAGTGGGACGCGGCAAAGTTCACAGATGTCGGCATATTCTTCCTCGTCGTAGGCGGCGGGTAGATCTGCAGCACAGCGCTCCGTCAGTGTCCGTCGCCGGAAGGGATGGGGAACGTCTTCTGGTGCAGTCCCTTGTGGCACTTGAGGTTGGTGTTCCCAGGCCATCCGGGACGCGAATGTGACCATTCGACCGGCCTCCATCACGCACCAGGTGGCAGCCTCGGCAGTGCGTGGCGGTTGCTGACGGCGGTTATGTCGCCTGGCGCGGCGCGAGTGGCCCCGCGGGTTGAATTGGGGGCGTAGGGGGGATCGGGAGCGGCTCCGAGAGCGTCGGAAGGAATGGGTGTTGCTGCGTCGAGGTGGCATGCCTGGATAGAAAATAACCATGAGCAACAATCTTTCGTGTGGCAAAAATTGACGGGGGACTGTGTTTCTTAGGACATCCCTAAAGGGTGACATGTCTAGAAACAAACGGCTTCAGATCACAAATGTTAACGGGTCCAGTTAACGACCCGTCTTCGACATGTCGTAACCTATACACCAAATGTGATACCCGTGAAACAACTTCCAAGGGACCTTCCCAACGAGGAGCTAGTGATGCCGCGAATCCCTTTGCTGCATTACTAAGCGGGTGCACGCGCCGGAGAACGCAGTCGCCTATTGAAAATTCTAGGGATCTCCTGCCTTGGTCATATTGGTTCCTCTGATCGAGCTGCGCTAACTCAATATTTTGTCGAGCCACTCGCACAGCGTCGGTGATTTTATCACGAAGTTGTTCAGCGAATCTCGCGTACGAGGTGTTTGGTCTTCGATTATCGTCGGAAAAGCTGTTCTCGAGGGGAAATCGCAGCTCGCGTCCGAAGTTTATTTGGGAAGGTGTGAACCCTGTCGTACGGTTCTCCGTAGTTCGAGTGGCGAAAGCCATTTCCGGGATGTAATTGTCCCAGTCTTTATGTCTCTCGGTGTATACCACTAGCATTGCTTTGAGGTTCCGGTTGACCCTCTCAGCTATGTTGGCTTGAGGGTGGTAAGGAGTGGTGCACTTGTGCTGGATGCCCAGTGTTGCGCAACAGTCCTCAAAAACCTTACTTGTGAAGTAGGATGCGTTGTCGGAAATTAATGGGGAACAGAACCCGAAGCGGGTGAAGGTGTCCCTCAATTTGTCCCAAATGGTCCTGGAACTCAGTTGGCGGAGAGGGTGAAGCTCCACCCACTTTGAGAAGTGGTCGGTGACTACCAGGAGATACCTGTTTCCTTTGGGGCTGCGTGGAAAGGGGCCCATTATGTCACATGAAACAATCTCCCATGGATAACGACTTTCCACTGACTGCATCAAACCAGGGGGTTTACCTCCCCTGGGTTTGGCTTGTTGGCAACGTAGGCAACTGCGTGTGTAGCGGAGAACATCCTGGCGCATCCTCGGCCAAGTGGCAACGCGACACAGTTTCTGGTAGGTTTTCTGACCGTCACTGTGGCCCGCTAGCGCACTGTCATGAAAATACCGGAGGAAAGTTTGCCTTAATGTACGGGGTACGACCACACGAAAAGGGGACGTTGTGGGGTCGGCTTCGTCTGCCTGCGGTATGTAGCGAAGGAGGAGTCCATCCTCGCTGTGTACATATGCGTCTGCCGACCCATACGTCCTGTTTCCATCGGTTTGATGGGGCTGAGTCAAGCACCGAGATACCTTTTGGCACATGTCGTCTTTTTGCTGGGCTTCTCGTAGCTCGTCCCGGCTCACAGAAAGACCCCAGGAGACTTCAGCGTCAGCAACAGCGACGAGTTCCGCTGTGTCATCCGCTTTTCGGGGGGGTAGGGGTGCTCGTGACAGGGCATCTGCTGCGACATTGAACCTTCCCGGTTTGTATTCAATGGAAAAATCATATTTCTGTAAAGCCAGAGCCCAGCGGGCAAGGCGTCCAGCGGGGTGTTTAAGGTTTTTCAGCCATGTTAATGCTTGATGGTCAGTCTGGATGGTGAAGGTCGCTCCATCTAGGTACATGTCAAACTTTCGCAAAGCGAATATTATAGCTAGACATTCTTTTTCGGTTACCGTATAGTTACATTCGGCCGCGGTGAGAGTATGACTCGCGAATGCAACGGGCCGCAACGCTGCGTTATGTTCTTGGAGTAATACTGCCCCTATACCGTAATCACTGGCATCCGTTTGGAGGACGAATGGAGCATTGAGATTAGGAAGTCTCAGAGATGCAGTATCCGCAATAGCATTTGCTAACGCTTTAAACGCTTGTTCCTGAGCGGAAGTCCAGGTCCATGGAACTTCCCGGCGTAATAGCTGGTGAAGGGGCCGGGCCAAATCAGCGCAGTTGGCAATAAACTCGCGGTAGAATCCCACCATGCCAAGGTACCGTTGTAAACTTTTTTTGTCTCGTGGCTGGGGAAATTCTATAATTGCTCTGAGCTTCTCTGCTTGCGGCTGGAGCGATCCTTGGTCGACCACGAAGCCAAGAAGCTCCACTTTGGGTGATGCAAGTTGCACTTTTGAAGGGTTAATCGTGAGACCAGCTTCACTCATGCGCTTCAGGACGACCTGTAAATGGTGAAGGTGGTCCTCGATAGTACTAGAAAACACTACTACGTCGTCCATGTAGGCCATTGCATAGTTAAACTTTGCATCACCCAAGACTGTATCCATGAGCCTCTGGAAGCTCGCAGGGGAGTTAGATAGGCCGAAGGGGAGTCGGACAAATTCGAACAGACCCCTGGGGCAAACAAATGCTGTTTTAGGGACGTCATCTGTTGCTACGGGAATTTGCAAAAATCCCCTACTACAGTCGAGGGTTGTGAATATCCGTGCAGACCCCAGTGCATATAAAACAGACGAGACTGATGGAAAGGGGTATGCATCTCGCTTCGTGACCGCGTTCAGAGGACGGTAATCTACGCAGAGGCGTGCGGTGCCATCCTTCTTGGGTGCTAACACAACCGGAAAAGCCCATGGACTTTTCGAGGGACGGACGGCTCCGGTCCGAATCATCTCATTCAGTGCTCCGTCCACGAGTGTGCGTTTGTGAACACTTAGGGGCCGCGCGTTAAATCGGATAGGCGGAGTGTCTCCAGTATCAATTCGGTGTTCGAGGATGCTAGTCCTCCCAGGTGTTTCTGTAAACATATGTGAGAAATTCTCCAAAAGCTTCGCTATACGTGAACGGTCCGAGTCGGTGCCAGAAAATGACTTTATTGCCACGTGCAGATACCCCGAGGAGGGGAATCTCTCACATATTGTACCCTCTAGAGGACGAGCTGCCGTAGGCATTGGTCTGACTGCAAACTTGAAAGTAGCGGACTGCGAGCCATATCGATATTCTTCTGCTGACAAATCTAGGACTATTTTTTCCCTGGAGATGAAATCTCGACCGAGAAGAATAGGGCAGGCGAGACCCGGCAGATATGTGAAATGTTGTCGACATTGTTGCCCATCAAAGCTCAGCTTCAGTCGAGCTCCTTCAGTGACGGAGATAAGTTGGTCAGATGCCGTACGGAGCTCTCTCTGAGAACGCCGCATTGAGATGTTCCGGTCTTTGCACAATTTTCTAACGAAGTCTCCAAAAAGTGGAATTGCAGCTCCGGTATCCAAGAGAGCTGCGATCTGTTGACCGGCAATGTTAACCACAATGTAGGGTTCTGTTATACCTCTACTTTCGTGACGCATAGCGTCAAGGGATGGTATAAAGTACGTGACTGGACGGAACCTATAAATTCGAAGTAGCTTGTCATAGACTTTCAGCCGACTCACCCATGATACCATGGTCGCTAGGATTCCCATGATCAATGAAATGCCGAGGATTGTCACGTCTCGTAGACCCGCCCAGGTCACCGTTCGGTAGTGGGCACGGGGTTCCGGTTGGACCGCACGGGCCATACACTTGTCTACGGGTTTTCCAGAAGGCCGCGCTGGTGTGGTCGCATCAGCCATTTTTCTGGCATGTGGGTGGACGACGGGCGGCCACGCCGCTGCCACTTCCTGCGAGCAGCCGTTGTCGTCACGTCTGTTCTCCGGAGTTGTCTCGTCGGGGACCAGGACGCCACCGAGAACCGCTCCGTGGGAAGCCTCGGGGAAAGCACCGGCGCTGGTACTACCGGAGGCATCTCCGCGAGCGCCGCCGAGAGCGTCACCGCATAATCCGTGAGCGGGAGCGTCATCGGGCGCTCGAGCGGGCGCCACGCCGGGACCTGGGGCATCTCCGCGAGCGCCTGCGAGAGCGTCGCCGCGTAATCCGGGAGCGGGAGCGTCATCGGGCGCTCGAGCGGGCGCCACACCAGGTGCTGCAACATCGGGCTCATCACAGGAGGCCCCCGGCGGGGCTGCTCGTGAGGCTGGGCCGAGACTGCTGAAGAACCGAGACGGTGGGGTGACCGAGGGCCTGTAACAAGGAGAAGCCACCGACAGACAGGGCCCTGCTATCGGCGGCCTACCTCGTTTCCCGAATTGTCGTTTGAAACCCGCCGGGTGCAGTCCCGGCGAAAGTGGCCGAGACTTCCGCACCGGAAGCAGCGGAGAGTAGCTGAGGTGGCCCTTGGGTATCGCTCTCTGGATGGGGCTTGGTATTGGCGGCCATGCTCGCGGACTTGAGCACCATCGCCCAGTCCGTGGGTGTAAGGGTCCAGCGCTCGGGGTACCCTTCCGGGGGGAACTGGCCGTCACCCATGCTCGTCCAAGGATTGCCTGGTCGTGCCTGTCCAAGCGCAGGACGGTTCCAGGCAAGCCTCCGGCGGTGGAGGAGGCCGATATCTTAGTTCGGCCAGGATGTCCGCCTGGATCTGGTGGGCTGCTTGGGCCAACTCGTCCAAACTCCGGAACACCCGCCCACGCAGGTAGGGATGAAACTGCGGGTGGCTTTGCCGGATAGCCCGCGACACCTTGTCTGAGTCGGACGCACTAGGGTCAGCCCTGTCATAGAGAGTTTGGAGCGCCCTAACAAACTCGACTAGGGACTCGTCGCGGTGCTGAGTGCGCGCCCTAAGCTCATCGAGCATTCGCGCGCCGTAATCGGGAGGCAGAAATTCATTTTTGAACTGCTCCGAAAAGTCTTGTAGCGTCGAGAAGGGTGATTGTCTCCGACGCCATGTCGCGGCGCTTCCCGTGAGGGCGATCGGCAGTACGCGTGATAGAAGTTCAACCTCAGACATTTCAGACACCGCCTGGTATTCACGCAATTCGTCAAGAAAATCAGCAACCGATTTTCTATCTGCGTAGCCTGAATATTTCGGAATCTCGGCATGTAAACGCAATGTCCCCGTCCGAGGTGTTGGAACTAAGGGTGGTAGCGGACGGCGTTGTTCCTGCAGGAGCCGCGACATCTCCGCCAGGAACAATGCCATTTGTTCTGGCAATGGGCCCAACGCGGTGAGAGGTGCAAGCGGCACCGGTGGGGAAAGGCTCTCAGCGGGCAATGGAACCTCCAAGTCTGCTGTGGGTATATCAGAGCCCGGTCGCAAGTCCTCCGCTCCATCACCAGTCGCGGTAGCACGAGCTGTGTTCGCTGCATTGGGGCGGCTACGGGATCGCGTAAGCGGGGGCGAAGTTGACATTTTAACGGTCACTATAACAAGCTCGGCGGTGAAGTAATCCAATGTCTGTATAGGCGCAGCGACTGCGAAGGCCTGCTAAACGTACCTGACTGTACGGGAATCTGGGTTCGGGCCCCACGCTGTGGCGCCAATGTGGAGACTGAAGAAAAGACAGCCGCTTCACTGGTGTCTACGCCCGTTCTAACCCGTGCTCGTCCTGAGCGCGCGCTAGCTTGACCCACCTCACGAGCCACCTTTATTGTCGTCCTTTTCAATCCCCACAACTGTTACGCGCTTATTAAAACCATATACGAACATAGACCTTTGATCAGAACTGTTTCTCGCTACCACCGCTAGGGGATACTTTTCGGTTTCTGGTTGGTCAAGAGAGCATGCCAAGCCCTCTTTCCGGGTCTGCCGCACGCCCTGGCTCTGCACGCGCCTCCCATTGACCAAACTCTCTACATATACGGCTCTGCGCTATGGGCGCTTCGGTTTGTTTGTAAACATGAGTTGGTCTATACACCAACTCATGTTTATTAACAAACCGGAGCGCCCCTAGCGGACGCCGCCGGCGCCGCGCATGCGCGATGGGGGTGCGGGCACGAAGCTCACCGTCGCCCGTAAACAAACCATTGGAACGCGATGTTGTCGGCGTAGGTGTAAGTCCCCCTGCCCTTTTTCACGTTCGAATTGTTGATTCTATGTCTTCCTGGCGATGTCTGACTACTTGAGCGGCGTCAGCGAAATTACCGAGGCTCGTTACACCGCAAAACTTCGCGTGAATAATGTAACATGTGGCGATTCATTCCGCGTGGACGCCGCAGATTGTACGCCAAAGCCTGATTTGCATGATATTTCGCTCGCAATTTTCAGTCGCGACGTCGCTCGGGCTGCAAAAGCCTGAACCGTAGCTGAGATGGTCGACGTCGATGCTGAAAATAGCAAGCAGGATCGGACCAAGTGAATTAGGCCTAACAAGTCGGTGATTGTTACTGGTAACAATGATCAACATCTCCTTGTATCTACTGTTTTATCGAGCCTGCTTACCAACTTTCAAATTTAAGTCTTTTGAGGCCTGCTCTTCCTTTATCGCAAGCACCGGGCCAAGGATTGGTCTACGGGACGGCGTCGTCCAAGAGAGCAGACGACCAGCAGAAACGTTTGAAAGAGCAGACGACAGTTCGAACGATCAGGCGGCCGTTTGAACTTGAAGGTGCACTAAACGTAGTCCGCCGGTGGTCCGCACAACATGACGGTTTTCTGGCGTTCATGTTGGAACGAAACAAATAAATCAGATGACCATAAGTATCCGTGAATTCAACCCAAAGTGCTCCCCGCCTAAGCAATCGTTGTCCGACGGCGGCTGCTTTCCCCTTTTCACGGCACATATCCAGATTCTCGGACGAACCGAGCACGTGAAAACTGACCTTCAAACCTTTCTCGACACTTTTGGTACGGCCCCAGTCGCGGCGTTTTGACGAGAAGGCAGGTTTTTGTCTGGTTCCTTTCAAAACAACGCAGGAATAGACGTCTGTCATGGGGACTTCTGCCCACAGTCCCAGACCGGAAGTGCAACCGACGCGCCACCACCGCGCCGTGACGTAACAGAGATGAGTTCGTGTATACACGAACTCAACTCTGTTACGTCACGGCGCGGTGGTGGCGCGTCGAGCGCACTTCCGGTTTGGGCCTGTGGGCGGAAGTCACCATGGGGGACGTGCATTTCTGCGTTGCTTTTGAGAAGACCAGAGACGAACCTGCCTTCTCTTCAAAGCGCCGCGACTGGGGCTGTACAAAAAGAGTCGAGAAAGGTTTGAAGGTCAGTTTTGATGTACTCGGTTCGTCCGAGAACGTGAATATCTGAAGTGAAAAGGGAAAACCAGACGCCGTAGGACCACGATTACTTGGGCGGGAAGCACTTTGGGTTGAATTCACGGATCCTTGCGGTCATCAGATTTATTTGTTTTGTTCCAACATGAACGCCCGAAAACCGCCAAGTTGTACGGACCACCTGCGGACTACGTTTAGTGCGTCTTCAAGTTCGAACGGTCGCCTGATCGTTCGAACTGTCGTCTACTCTTTCAAAAATTTCTGCTTGTCATCTGCTCTTTTAGACGACACCTGCCCGTAAACCAAACGTGGGCCCGGTATTTGCGATAAGAAGTAAGTGCAAGCCTCAAAAGACCTTTAAGTTTAAAGGTTGGTTGGGTTAAGTGGGCTCGGTGTAAAGGCTAGAGGCAAAGAGATGATGATAATTTTTATCAGTGGCCATCACCAACTTGTTATGTCCGATCTACTTGGCCAGATTCTGCTTGTGATTCTAAGTATTGACGCAGACTATCTCAGCTACGGTACACGCTTTTGCAGCCCGAGCGACGACGCGACTGTAAATTGCGAGCGGAATCTCATCATGCGAATTAGGCTTCAGCGTCCATTCTGCGGCGTCAAACGGGGAATGAGTCGCCGCCTGTCACATTACTCACTCAAAGTTTTGGGGTGTAACGAGCCTAGTTAATTTTGCTGCTGAGGCCGCTGAAAGTAGTCCGACATTTCCAGGAAGACGTAGAATCAACAATTCGAACGCGAAAAAGAGAACAAACATTCCCACCGACGCGACAACATCGCTTTCCAATGGTCTGTTTATGGGCGAGGGCGAACTTCTTGTCTTGTCGCGGCGCCTTTGGCGTCCGCTAGGGGCGTTTCGGTTTGTTTGTAAACGTGAGTTGGTGTATAGATGAGGAACCGCCGGGGTGTGGGAGCACCGTGGAGAAAGCAGTGTTGTACACGTTCCTCAAAAAGAGGAACGGAAGTTCGTTCCTCGTTCCTCCTGATTTTTGGAACGTGTTCCCGTTACAAGCTCCGTCTGCGAGAAAGGAACCCGTTGCAGTTTAAAAAATGGAACGTGTCGTTACATATACGTTACATTTGTATTTTGCTAATTAAAATATTTAGTTAGAGTAAACGAACATTTCTTTTATCTATCCCATTAAATAGCAACATACTAATTTGAATGCCGTGATTGAAGGACGCTAGGGGAAGTAAACAAGCGGAAGCAAGGTTTCATTTGTTGATACATTAATTAAAAAAAAAAAAAACCTTAGCGTTTTGCTGTAGTCACGTTTGTGGTAGACAATTCAGACGAGCCAAATATACTGTTACCCCCCTTGCACAGGCGTTTTACAACAAACTCACACGTTTCAATCTAACAATGTCCCGTGTTCAAACTTAACAACAGTTGCTTCTTGATACTGCTGTCAGGAAGGCGTGCAAATGGAGAAGAAGGTAGGGCTTTCTGAAGGTCAGTCTTGAAAACTACCAGTCCTTCCTGAAGGTTGGACTCGTTTTTCAGTTTGAAGGTGGGAGAAGAGGACAGAGAAGGGAGGTTAGTTTCTGTACATCTGGCCAATGTTTGGGATACCAGGGTGCGTTTGATGTAACTGGTTTCTTTGTAGAAGTTCAGTGATGGCTGCAGTCGGCCTTCGATTTCTGGGTGTATGAGGATTCGTGGAAGCAAGTAAAGTATCTGAGTTCGAGATGTCCCTTTTTCTGTCTCTTCCTTTACCAAATGTTCTGATTTTTGTGCTGCAGTCTCGGGCACTGAAAAAATAATCAATGTTACTAGCTCTCCTGCACCTACTGTTACCAAGCAAGGACCCCACAAAATAAACCCTAAGTAAGCATTATCGCACCTGTAGCCTGGCCCCTGCTGCGCGACTGGTACCTTTAGTCCATTACTGCGCTTCGCATGCGCTCAAAGTCTTTATACATTACTGATTTAATGGATTTCGATGACGCTCAGCAAGTTTCCATTTGGAGCCTTATGTCTGTACTAAATTAAAAGTAAATTAACAATTTTTTTTTCATTAATCGATTGATCATTGCGATCGGCCATATATACGATTTCCCCTTGCCATCTAACTCACCAACACAAACCGCAGAAGTGTAGCTTTCACGGCTTGCTTTAAACAAATATTAAGATAGAAAAAAAAGCTTTAGATTACAAGCCCATGGCACTGTGCCCTTCTGTGGCCTCGTAAGTGTGCCCGCCCAAGGGGAAGCTCAAGAGGCCCTAAACGCTGTGTATTTAGAAGTTGAACGCCTTTCAAAAACGTCACAAAGACAGCTGATTTTTTAATTTTTATTAGTATTTCTGTTACGATTTATGGAAACACCAAACGGCATCTGACAAGTAGAGCGGACAGATCCGTTGCTTTTCAAAAGTTGAAGACCATCCTTGAAATACTTATTATCATCATCATCATCTTCGTCATCATCATCATCATTATCATTATCATAATGATCATTCTTCTTCTTCTTATTATTATTATGAACCACTTCAGGCTGAAGTGTTTGGGGAACTGCTTGGTATGTCTGACACACAGTCTGATGAGCACATCAAGCCGTGTGGTGTGCCTACAAGTTCACAAGGTAGTACATCACGCTGACCGGGTGCGTTCATCAAGCATCTAGTGTAGCCATCAGACGCTCTGGTGGGCTCACCAGGCTGGTGTGCGGTTTATATCAGCCTGTTTGGGGGACACACCAGATCGCTAGGTGTTACACCAGGATTTTCTGGTGTTACACCAAGATGCTCTGATGTGTTTTTTTTAGAGAGCTGTTCCACTTATTCAACTTATTAGTGCTCCTCTTGGTTCAGAACCGACATAAGTGATCTATTTGGCAATAGCAAGTCAGCTGTGTTTGATCCATCTTTGCTTACGCCTGTCATGTTCCTGTCGTCACCGCAGTCTCTGATAATTTCTGCAATGACAACCTATTGCTGCAACCGAATGCCGACGCAAAAGCTG